TGTGATCTGTTTGGATTTCCAGAAGGCCTTTACCAGGAGCCACATAGGACGCTGCTAAATAAGATGAGTCCATTGTGTTGAGGGCAAGATACAGGCATGGATAAAGGACTGGCTGACTGCCAGAAGGCAGGGAGTGGGGATAAAGGGGTCCTTTTCAGGATGGCAGCTGGTGACTATTGGAGTTCCTCAGGGGTCTATGCTGGGATCGCAACTTTCACATTAAACATTAATGATCTGGAAAAAGGGACTGAGGGCATTGCTTCTAAGTTTGTGGACGACACAAAGATAGGTGGAGGGATAAGTAGTGCATATAAAGCAAGGACTAGTAGAGTGGGCAAAGAAGTGGCAGATGGAATTCAATTTGGGAAAGTGTGAGGTTATGCATTCTGGCAGGAAGAATAGAGGGGTAGATTAGTTTCTGAATGCAGAAAGGATTCCAAAATCTGAAGCACAAAGAGACCTCTGAGTCCTATTTCAGGATTTTCTTAAGGTTAACATGCAGATTCAGTTGGCAGCTAGGAAGGCATTTGCAATGCGAGCATTCATTTCAAGGGGGCTAGAATATAAGAGCAGAGGGGTATTGCTGAGTCTTTATAGGGATCTGGTCAGACTGCATTTTTTTATTCATTTACAGGATGTGGGCATCGCTGACTAGGCCAGCATTTATTGTCCAACCCTAATTGCCCAGAAGGCAGTAAAACGTCCACCACATTGCTGTGGGTCTGGAGTCACATGTAGACCAGACCAGGTAAGGATGGCAGTTTCTTTCCCTAAAGGGCATTAGTGAACCAAATGGAATTTTCCAACAATCAACTATGGATTCATGGTCATCATTAAATTCTTAATTCCAGAGTTTTATTGATTTCAAATTCTGTCCTCTGATGTGACAGGATTCGAACCTGGGCCCCCAGAATGTTACATGGGTCTCTGGATTAATTGTCCAGTGAGAATACCACTAGGCCGCCACCTTCCCAAATTTGGAACATTGTGGGCATTGAGCCCCATATCTAAGGAAAGATGTGTTAACCTTGAAGGGATCCAGAGAAGGTTTACAAAAATGATCCTGGGAATGTAGGGCTTGTCACATGAGGGGCATTTGAGGACTCTGGGTTGGTACTCGATGGAGTTTAGAAGGATAAGGAAGGATCTGATTGGAACATACAGAATACAGAGAGGCTTGGATAAAATGGATATGGAGAAAATGTTCCACTAGTAGGAGAGACTAGGACCTGAGGGTACAGCCTCAAAGTGAGATGAGGAGGAATTTCTTCAGCCAAAGGTTGGTGAATCTGTGGAACTCAATGCTGCAGAGGGCTGTGGAGGCCAAGTCATTGGGAGTCTTTAAGACAGAAATAGATAAGTTCTTGATTAGTAGGGGAATCAAGGATCACACGGAGAAGGCAGGAGAATGGAGTTGAGAATCATATCATCCATGGTCGAATGATGGAGCAGACTCAGTGGACTGAATGGCCTAATTCTGCTCCTATATCTTATGGTCTTATAAAGCAATCGTCCCCTTGAGGGCAGGAATGCCACTGTAAAGTAGTTGGCTCATTGTCCTAATTGTCCACATTTGCAAATACCATGTCCTTCACCCTCAAATCCAGCTCCTCTCAGGCCTGTCTGCCTCAACTCAGCCCTACCCTGACTTCTTCCACATTGTCATCATCAGCACTGGCTCTTTCATCACTTGTGACCAACTCCTTTCCTTTCACATCCAAGCAGACAGGTAACTTGTCCATCTCCCACTCTTCTAAGAACCAATCTAATCATGGAGCTTGGTTGTGCAGGGCGCAGCAGACAATTTCTATTCTAGAGTCCCTTTCCAGAGAGCACAAGATTGTGCTTTGAGCAGTCCAGGCTACAGAGGTAGTGGTGAGGCCAGAACTAGAGTATTGTATGCAGTTCTGGTCTCAGTATAGGAAGGACATAATTACTCGAGACAGAGTGCAGAGAAGATTTACCAGAACGTTGCCAGGGCTGTTGAATTGGAGCCATGACGAGAGATTAGAGAGGTTGGGATTGTTTTCCTTGGACTAGGAAAGGCTGAGGGGTGACATGATTGAGCTATTCAAAATTGTGGGGGTTAGGGACAGAACAGACAGGAGGAACGTATTTCCCTTGGCAGAGACTTCAAAAACCAGGGGTCATAGTTTCATGCTAAGTGCAGAACAATTAGAGGGGATGTGAAGAAACATGTTTTTTACGCAGAGGGTGATGGGTGTCTGAGTCAGTGGTGGAGGCAGAGACCCTAAACCCCTTCAGAAAGTACCTGCCTCTGAACCTTATGTGCTCTAAGCTAAAGGGCTATGGGCTGTGTGCAGGAAGATGGGATTAGAAAGGGCATCTGCGTGTCTGGGTTGGCATGGACAAGATGGGCCAAATGGCCCCGTTCTGCGCCATATCATTTCTACAATTCTATTTCTATGGTTCTAAGTGTATCTTCAGAAGACCATTGTTTGTTCACCGATGGTCAAAGTGGATGTAAGGGCAGCATTGTAGCATTGTGTAAGCATCGACCTGAGGGCTGTGCACTGTAGTCATTTAGCCATGCCATCTATGGGTAACCCTTGTCACCCACAAGCCACCTCTGGAGATGCTGTGAGGAAATGAATGTTCGAGGAATCTGAGAGCCAGCGCAGAATGTGAGTGATATGACACCTCCTGGGTGTGGAAATGGTTGCCTGTGGTTACAAGGCTGGATAATGAGGGGGAGCAAAGCGTCTTCCTGTTCAGGAATCTAGCTGGATGATGCCATGGAGTTGCGAGCACCACATGCATTCAGTCAATGGCTGTTTATACTGAAGAGAATTCCAGTCTGTCGCATTTCCAGCAATGGTGCAAATCTGGTTATAGAGTGAACTGGATAAATTGTATTGTTTCCCTGTAAAGGGCATTTCTGAAATCACCCTTGTACTCCCAAGTCACTGGTTGGGAGGTGCCACACACATATCCAATTGAGGTTAGAAAGAAGCTGGTTATTAGGAAACTTTGATTACAAAGTGCTGCCTCCCAATCCACATGGCTAAAGATGGCTTGGATGAGGTAGCAGATGTAGGTAATGGCTTCTCCACTCATCTAAAGATTTCTCCAGCACTGCCTTTCACTCATCTTCAGGTAGCTGCAATGCCTTTAGTGCATGCTCATTGTGGTACACTGTTCAACAGCGTGGATTCTCCTGTCAGGCACTGCTTTCTCATACACTGCTTCAGCTCCCTGAGCCTCGTGTCACTGATTTTGCTGTCACTGGGCAAACCTTGTTCTTCCTCCCCATCCTTCCTGACCTGAGCAATGCCGGTCTGGCTACTGGGGTTATGTTGGTCAAATGTCCGCTTCAGTGTACCTGAGCTGAGAGGAAAGGCTAGGAATGAGAAGTTTGCTTTCTATTTGGGATCTTGACCCAGTCCTTACCAATTAGGCTGCTTATAGTTGGATGAAGGTTGGCCTATAGCAGTCTCTACATGGTAAAGTGGCCTGTTGAATATTCCCATACTGCACCATGTGGAGTAGGAAAATCGAGTAGCTAACAGGAAGCAGAAAGCAGGCTTCAATGGGTCTTTTTTAGGTTGGCAAGATGTGATGGATGCAATGCCACAAGGATCAACTGCATTTAGAATTTTACAGTTTGCGAAAAGTAAAAATAAAATTTATACCGTTGGATGAAGTGACAGAAGATATGGTTGCTTAATTTCCTGATGACACAAAAATAGGAGCGAACATAAGTTGTGAGACGGTTAAATGATAAATAACATGAATATATATATATATACAGGTGAAATGCGTGTACAATGACGTGGGGGTAAATGTGAATAAAGTAAGAATAAACCAGAAGGTTGGTATTTAAATGGTGAGAGTTGCAGAGCTCTGAGATGCAGAGTGACCTGGGAAATCTACATGTTTCTCATTTTTCCCTGACAAGATTGCAGCCATGAATGGAATTCCAGCAGGCTAGAGTGTTAATGAATATTCACGGATGCTAATGACTGCAAAAGATTTTCCCAACGATCGGGAGCGGGAAAGCCAAATGGTTCTGATAACTTTATACCAAAACTGTAACCCACGGACAAGAAACTACAGAACTGTATCTGTCCTAATTCAGTTCCCCATCTTCTTGGCCATTCATCCAGCCTTCCCTCAGCTCCAGGTAAGTCAGGGAGATTCTACGCAGCATCTTAGTTACCAGCATCCTATTAAAGCTATTGGACTCTGCTCCCTCCTGGTACAATCTGCTGAGTATTCCCAAATCATTATTCTACCGTACCACCTTGGTTTTTCTCTTTAGCATGGTAAAATAATCCTTGATTAAACCCTCTGTCTAAGTGTGGGTCTGTCCCCATTCAGCTTTTCAAGTAGAAGACCTATCTGGCATCAACCATCAAAACTGGCACCTTCACCATGGAGTTCAGTTTGCCAACTTCCAGCAAAAATCGTAGGGATCATTTATAAAATATTGTCAATTATAGAATATCAGAGATAAGAGAGGGTCCCTTGACCAGGACAGAGAGTGAGGAGGCAGGGCAGTAAGTCATGTGTTGGAAATCTCCATGATTACATCCAACAGATTTGGAAACCAATTGCACCCACCTTAAACAATAATTTTATTTAAATGACCAAGCTTCACAGACTGATGAGTAATGATCTTTAATGTACTGCAACAACAATTTACATTTATATGGCAGACTTCAATGTAAGAAAAACCCCTTTAAAGGACACTGCTATGATGTTATTATCCATAAAATGCTCAAATGGAAGTACAGTATTGAAGTGCATGCAGTTTACACATTATATTGATCCTAATCAACAAATTCTTGTTCCTACCAAAAACAGAGAAATGTTTATCTATATTTTAACTTAATATTTGTAATTAATCCTCCAGAAACAACAATAACAAAGATCAATGGAGACAAATAGCATCAACGTTAATCTTTAAATTCAGCAGCTTCAGTCAGTCATCATTTTGATTCTTGTTGTTGAACTTTTAGCCAGCCTCAGCTGATCAATCACACCTCAGGATAAACGGCACTTGTAGCAATTCCACAGTTGTTATCCATATCCTTAGCCATGTGAACATATCCTTCATTGCCCCAATTTGCTCCCCAGCTAAAATTTTAAAAACAACGTTGTATCAAGTCCGGGTAAAGCACATCAGTTTTTCTTTTCATTAATTCATAGGACATGGACTTCAAAGGCTGGGCCAGCATTTATGGCGAGTCCCTAACTGCCCTGGAAAAGGTGATGGGGAGCTGCCTTCCTGCAGTCCTTGAGATATAGGGACATCCGCAGGGCTGTTAGGAAGGGATATTCTGTGAAATAGGAAGTTTTGCTGATGATTACAAACACAAGAGATCGAACACTAATAGGCAATGAAAAAATAGCCTCTGTAGAAAGGGAACCAACTTCTCAAAATAAAACTGAGCCAGACTGAAGGTTGCACTGTGAATTCAGCAACTGTTTCACAGATAAATCCTTCTCCCAATAGCGATCCCTATATTTTCCACCAGGAAGGACCAAATAGTTGAACCTCAATCAGAATTTGCAATAGAGGAAAATATAATAAGATGGTTATGACATTTTTCTTATTAATTTCATGTTAACAGCACTGACTACAAGAGCCATATGTCCAAAACTTCTGTCCAATGTTAATCAATGGCCTGAGGGTGAGGATTTTAAGTTTTAAATGTCCCTCTTACAGAGCAATCGATGGCAGTAGGGAAGTATGTTGAATTAAGACAATTGTCCCATTTGCACTGTTACAAAAGCCCACAGATGTTTCACTCCCCAAGACTGACACCCAGTCAATGCTGTAAATGGTGCTGAGATTAGAAAATTAGAATGGCCCTGACTCCTGTAAACTGTCTGCTCAAGCATATGGGTAAGTGGGTGGGTAGAATTTCTGCTCTCATACAAGGGATAGTGTGGTGACTCAGTGTTTAGCACTGCTGCCTCACAGCACCAGGGAGCCAGGTTCAATCCTGGCCTTGGGTGACTGTCTGTGTAGAGTTTGCACATTCTCCCTGCGTCTGTATGGGCTTTTGCCAGGTGATCTGGCTTCGTTCCATAGTCACAAAGATGTGCAGGTTAGGTGTATTAGCCATGCTAAATTTCTCAGTAGTGTTCAGGGATGTGCAGTCCAGGAGGATTAGCCATGGGAAATGCAGGGATGGGTCTGGGTGGGATACTCTTCAGGGGATCAGTACAGGCTTGATGGGCCAAACTATAGGGATTATGTGAAGATCCACCTCAGTTATCTGTAGAATAACTGCTCCCAGCATTTACAACACCCCTTGCATCTTCAGGAAAAAATTAAAAAGAGAGTAAACATTCCAAATGGTTAAGGTCAAAGGGTGCCATAAAAGGAAGGGGTGATTGGTACCCTAAATGTATTTTGCTAGGTTTTGTTAAAGTTAATTGAAAACCTACAGTAATGTACTTCGGTATTTTGATTTAAACTTGGAGATTGAATTGAAAGACATTGAAACTACAGGCTCTCTGAGACACATACCTGTTTTTAACAATCCAATATGACTTCTGATTTTTAGTCCCATATCCAACTGCCAACACTTCATGGTCAAGATTGACAGAGCTGCAACGGGGCTCATAAAATATACCTGGAATGAAAGAAACATTTGTACCTGTTAGTTCGGAATTGAAGTGCAGAAATCCCAGAATCACCGAAGTATTAAGCACTGAAGAAGCCCATCATCTCTGAACCAGTTCTTCAAACGAGCCTTATCTGCCAAGTTGCTGCTTTTTACCTCATTTCTTTGTGAAGTAGTTCTGTCCAAATATTTATCTCTTGCATTCTTCAAGGAGTCAATTGAACTTACCTCCACTACACTTCCAGAACATTCCATACACTAACTACTCACTGTATAAAAAATCTGCTTCTCACACTATTTTTGTCCCTTTCATAAACCATATTAAATATACGCCCTGTTGTTCTGACCCTTTCAGTAGCACAGTTTCAGAGAATCTTCATTGTACGATGGGAGAATTATTTAAATATCATGGCAACTAAGAACAACTTTAAATAGCCATAAATCCCAAAAAAATGGTTGGTGCTGAAATTTGTTTAATAGCTCAGGCGTTCTCTGGTGACAAATACTATTTGCACCATTCCCCAATAATCTATTATTCTCCATTTGCTAAATATTCAAAGCACAATGCTCAATCTTGTTTCTTAATGTGCTACAAGACAATAGTCATTGAATACTAAAATATTAAACAAGTTAATTACAATTAATTGTCAATTTCATCATGTCTGAACTTTTTAAAGTTCACTCAAAAATTGTTTCAACCATTAATAGTTTTGTTACATTGCGTACGTTAATTATAAACCCAGCTCTTACCTGATTTGTATAACATGAAGGATCTATGCTCGGCATCTATAGAAACAGATATTGGTCCAACTGTGGCCACTGCTGCAGCTAAATCTGCTTCAGAATTTTTTGGAATAATTGTGACACCTTTGCAAGTGGCAACAATATCATCTCTATTGGATTTACAATCCCCATCCTGAAGCCAAGAGATTGGAGAAAGCAGAGACAAAGGTTTACACAATACAAAACCGATAGAATTATTAGCAATCAAGAAAAGCCAGAAAATCAACTGTGTCCCTCAGTGTTAAATCATAGAATCCCTACAGTGTGGAAGCAGGCCATTTGGCCCATCGAGTCCACACCGACCCTCCGAACAGCACCTCACCCAGACCCACCCCCCTAACCTACCCTATCCCCTGTCCCTGTAATCATGTATTTCCCATGGATAGCTCACCTAGCCTGAACACCCCCAAACACTATGGGCAATTTAGCACAACCAATCTACCTAATCTGCATGTCTTTAGATTCTTTTAGTTCATGTACTTTTCATGACTGTTTTTAGTTGCTTGGTGAACATATTTCAATGGTTTTCAATTGAAACATAGTTCCCAAACCTTTCTATTAATGTAAAAACGTCAATTGTTTTTCCTTCCTGCACTTACAAATTTTAGTTTGTGTTCCTCATATTTACCTTCCCCACAGTGAACACATTTTTACGGGTCATTTTCCTTCAAACACATTTGGCACAGGTACACGCCATTTGGCCCAGCTAGTCCATGCTCCATTCAAGCCTCCTCCTATTTTCCCTCATCTGAATCTCTCTGTTCCTTTTTCCCTCAAGTGCTTTGTCAATCCTCCTCTGAAACACATCGACACTATTAGCTCTAACAGCTCTATGTGCTGATGAGTTCTGCATTCTCAGCACTCTTTGGATAAAGAATTTTCTTCTGAATTTCTCTATTGAGTTTCTTAGTGACTGCTTCATACTGATGGTCTCTAGATATGCTTGTTTTCTACACAGGAAACCTTCTCTTGTCTACCATATATTAGCATTACCTTTCATCAATATAAAGATCTCGACCTCAGCCTTCTGTTTGAAAAGAAAGAAGACCACCATGAGTAATCATGCATTCCTGCTATCAGCATTATAAATGTTCTCTGCACCCTGCCCAGTGCCTTTACACCCTTTCAATATGCTCCAACAGTTCTCTAAGCTCTTAACTTTCTTCACTTTTTCTTTCAGTTGATTAATTCAAATAAACCCTGTTCACCTACACTGTAGACCTTATCTACCCTTTGTGTAATGCTGTTGTTTTGCTATCACATCTTCCCCACCCATCACTGTACCATCACTCTATCAAACCTGACTAAACTCATCAAGGGAGTCACGTGGGGTTCCAAGATGGAGCAAGTTGAAATAAATTCTTGAACTTTGCTGGGGTGGGGTTAATGATGAATTACCACCATTCACTGCCATTACCCCTCAGAAACAGAACCGCTGATGCGGCTTGTCAGACTTGCAAAGAATTGGAAATCCTGAACCATGGTCTGTCGCTCAGGACTCCAACACAGGAAATAGTTTTTACAACACTTCCCAGAGCCAGTATTGTTCAAATCAGCGAGGACTTCTTTTTATTGTTAGAAACCCATTTAAAGCTTTCTGAAGAAGGGTCTAGGCCCGAAACATCAGCTTTCCTGCTCCTCTGATGCTGCTTGGCCTGCTGTGTTCATCCAGCTCTACACCTTGTTATCTCAGATTCTCCAGCATCTACTATCTCTAAAGCTACATCTTGTCCAATTTAGTGCAACTGAATCCAAATGACGAATAAAACATGATGAAGATCAGGACTGGACTGAAAAAGTAATTTTCTATTCATGAATTGTTGCTCAATGATGAATTAGCAAATTTTATAAAAAATTAATTTTTTTTGCCTTTTTAAATCTTCACCCCATGTATGTGTCCCGGTATTTTATTGGTTCTATGTAAAAACGTTTGTATGTTTTTCTTTTGCAGCTCTTTGCTTCCTGCTGTGTGCCTGTGAAAATCCTGTAATGATAGGTGACATTGTACCAGCTCCTCACTGAGGAACACTGCCATTGGTTGCTGTACCTCAGCACAAAAATTGGGAACTCTCATCAAATAGACTTCAAAATAGTCTCTTCATTATGACAGACATGAGCAACTTAAAGACTTTCCAAAGTGATAAATAGACTCAGAGGTTCTGTACCTATTGGATAGTGGTTGAGGGAGTAAGAGGATGAGGAATTATGGAGAAGCGATAAAGGGGTATGAGTGGGGTGAGAAAAGTCAAGGTTCATGGGAGGGTAATGGGGACAGAGGATGAGACTTAAAGAGGTCTCACATTCCTTTTGAGAACTGGCCAGATGTCCCAGTGATTTTTGTTTAACCTGGATACTTCAGCATCCATCCACCTCCATCTCCACTCAGTCCTGGAGTGGATGCAGTGATCTCAACGTGAGCCTTTCGCTGTTGCCCCATCATGAAAATAGTGTGGCATCAGGCAGGAGGTGGGATCATGACAACAGAAAATGGTCCAACTCCCAAATCCCAGTCCAAGTTGGAAATCCAGCCTAGCGAGTCCTGTCCACCACAGCATTGGATAGGATGGTCATTAACAGAGGGAATCACACTATTGGAGGAGACCATTTTCCTCTGCACTTACATGATCTCGGTGTGCAAGGGGGTGGGCTTAAAACTCTGCAATGATTCTTTTAATCGTTAATGGGATGTGGGTGTCACTGGCCAGGCCAACATTTATTATCTAGCCCCAACTGCCCTGGAAAAGGTGATGATGAGCTGCCTTCTTGAACCACTGCAGTTCCGTGGGTATAGGAACACCCACAGTGCTGTTAGGGAGAGTTCCAGATTTTTACGGAGTGACAGTGAAGAAACAGTGATAAATTTCCAAGTCTGGATGGTATGTGAGTTGGCAACAAACTTGGTGTTCCCATGTCACTGTCCTTCTAAATTATAGAGTTCACAGGTTGGGAAGGTGCCTGAGTGAGTTTTGTTGAGTTATTGCCATCTATGATACATATTGCTGCACTGTGCATCAGGGTTGAAGGTTAAACGTGGTTAATAGATTGCCAATCAAACAGATCACTTTGTCCTGGATGGTGTCAAATTTCTTGAGTGCTGTTGGAGCTGCACCCATCCAGGCAAGTTTTCCATCACACTGCTGACTTAATTGAACCTGGTATTTGTTGGACAGGATTTGTGGGGGGACAAGGTGAATTTTTCAGCACAGAATTTGTAGCCTCTGATGTGTTCTTGTAGGTGGTCCTGTTCAGTTTCTGCTCAATGGTAACTCCCAGGATGTCGGCCGTGGGGAATTCAGTGATGGCAATGTCATTGAACATCAGGGGGCAATGGTTAGCTCCTCTCTTGTATATGGTCATTGCTTGTCGTGTTGTGTGGAGCAAATGGTGCTTGCCATTTATCAGTCCCGTCTGAATGTTGTCCATGTCTTGCTACATTTGGACATGGACTGTTTCAGTATTGAAGGAGTCACAAATGTTGCTGATTATTTTGAAATCAGTGAACATCCCGACTTATGATGATAGAGGGTAGGTCAACAATGAAGCAGCTGATGATGTTTGCGCCTAGGAGACCATAAGGAACTCTTGCATTGGTGCTCTGGGGCTGAGATTTCTAACAATTGCAGTCATACTCCTTTGTGCTAGATCTGTAGCATATCTCTACCAGGAACTAGCCAATCTATCAGAGAAGAATTTAAACAAACAGACCCAAAAATGGATACAAATACTTCCTCATTTAACAAATACAAAAATTCCAAAAGCATTAAACAAAGAAAGGAAGTTACCTTTGCTGTGTAGGGGTAAGATTCTTCTGAATTAATACCATTTTCTTTAATAAATAGGAGGGCCTGCACTTTACATCCACCATTGCAGCCTCTGTTTCCCACAGATCGGGTACAATCCATCAGGTACTGCTCACTCAGGGAAATGAGCTTTCCTGTTTTATTGAAAACTTGCCCTTCAAGTACTCCAGTAGTACTGAAAGCCCAGCACGACCCACACTGCCCCTAACATAAAAAGAATCACAGGGAGCAGTGTTTGTGATAATTTATTGCACCGAGAAAACTCAACTAAAAGTCAATAGCCATATTTTCACTTCATCTAAAATCAGATCAGCTGTCTGTTATCCATTTCTTCTTTCATTCATAATGATTTTCTACCTCACATATATTTAGGCTGAGGCTTCTGAACTTTAAAACTTGAATGCTTGATGGAAATTCTTTTGTGCATCACCCCTGCGCTTACTGAGCTACATCAATTTTAAAATTTGCTTTCCTTTTCCCTCAAGGACCCCATCCTTTCTCATCTCTATAACCTCCACCGATCCTTAGCCCTCCCACCTGTTTACCTTTATTCTTTCAGATGTGGGTAACAAAGCCAGCATGTGTTATCCTTCCCTAAAGTGAGCAGTTTGCTACTCCATTTTAGAGGGCGATTAAGAGTTACTATAGGTCTGGAGTCACATGTAGGCCATGCCTGAACAGAACAATAGGTTTCCTTCTCTAAAGAATATTATTCAACCAGATGGATTCTTACAACACAAGATGATGTTCATGGCCACCATTACAAAGAATATATTTTAAATTTCAGATTCATTAATTAGATTTAAATCCACTAGCTGTCATAATCACAGTTATAGAATCATACAGCACAGAAACAGACCCTTCAGTCCAACCAGTTCATGCCGAACATAATCCCAAACTAAACTAGTCCCACCTGCCTGCTTCTGGCCCATATCCCTCCGAACCTTTCCTATTCATGTGCTTATCCAAACGTCTTTTAAACATTGTAATTGTACCCATATCCACCATTTCCTCTGGAAGTTCATTCCACACGTGAACCACCCTGTGTGTAAAAAATTTGCCCCTCATGTCGTTTTCAAATCTCTCTCCTCTCACCTTAAAAAAGTGTCCCCAGTCTTCAAATCCCCTGCCCTAAGGAACAAACACTTACCATTAACCCTATCTATAATCCTCATGATTTTATTAACCTCTATAAGGTCACCTCTCAACTTCCTATGCTCTGGTGAAAAAAGTCCCAGCCTATCCAGCCTTTCTTTATAACTCAAACCTTCCATACCTGGCAACATCCTGGTAAATCCCCAAGATTATTAACCAGGATTGCTGTCCCAACAGCATCACTATGATGCCAACAGTTCTGCCGCCTGAAAGAGCTCCAATTTTATTGTTGATACTTAGTGACTGTGCCTTTAGCTTCCAAGCCCATATCTTTGGGATTCCTGCTTTCAGTCTGACCTGGAGGCCAGAGACATGGCTGCCAGATGACATGGATTGGAACCACAATCTTGAAGAGTATAGGAATGACAGAAAAGTATGCAAAGGTGGAGGATAATTAATTTCGGTATCAGCACAATAGAGAGAGATAGCCTAAGTTCTAGAAACTGATATAGGAAAACAGTTTGGTAAGTAACGAGAAAAGATTAAGGGAAGAAGTCATTTGTGGGAATGGTGTTAAGGCCTAAAAATAATGAATAGTAAGGTAGGGCATAAAGGAAGAAACAACGAGACCTTGACAGAAAGGCACAATGATACTCATGAGAGATTTTAATCTACATATTGACTGGAGAAGTTGGATGGGCAAAGGTTGCCTAGATGAGGAGACTATACAATGTATCCAGGACAGTTTCTCAGAAGTATATCCTGGAATCATCCAAAGAACAGGTTATAGAAGATCTGGTATTCTGCAATGAGCTAAGATTAGTTAATTAACTCATAGTGAAGGTGCCCGTAGATAGTAGAAACAACAACATGATTGCATTTATATTCAGTTTCAAGGAGAGATGATTTGATCTGAGACTTTTTTAAAAAATAATAAATATGAGCAATTATAAAGGCATGAAAGCAGAACTGGCTAAAGTGAATTGGCAAATTAGGCTAGAGGATAAGTCAATAGAGGTGCAGTGGCAGTCATTTAAGGGGCTATTTCACAAGCTACAGAAGAGATACATTCCAACAAGTGAGAAAAATTCCAAAGGACAAACCCACCATCTAATATAAGTACAAATGGTAAAGATAGTATCTAACTTAAGGAGCAATCGTACAGTTGGGCAATGACTCGTAAGAGATTTGAACAGAATTTTTCAAAAACAACGAATGACCAACCAAACATAAAGAAGGGAAAATAGAGCACGAGAGAAAGCTTGCTAAAGATATAGAGATAGATTGTAAGAGTTTCTATGAATATTTAAAGAAAGAAGGCATGGTAACTCAGTGGTTAGCACTGCTGCCTCACAGCGCTAGGGACCCGGGTTCAATTCCAACCTCAGGTGACTGTCTGTGTGGAGTTTGCACATTCTCCCCGTGTCTGTGTGTGTTTCCTCCGGGTGTTCTGGTTTCCTTCCACAATCCAAAGGTGTGCAGGCTAGGTGGATTGGCCATATGAAATGATGAGTTATGGGGATTGGGTGGGACGCTCTTCAGAGGGTTGGTTTGGACTTGATGGGTTAAATGGATTGTATCTGCACAATATATTTTCTATGAAACAAAGAATTAATTTACATTTTACATTGGTTCTCATAAGATACATTGCTTCAATCTTTACTGTAGAAGCATCCCAGAAGGAATGCGACATCAGGAAGTGGAATGGGTGGGGAACTCAGGGAAGTTGCAGGGGTACTGAGTAAATTATTTGAGCATGACAAGTGCCCAGGATCTGATGGACTTTATCCTAAGGTCTCAAGGAAGTAGTTAGTGAGATGTTGATGTGCTGATTTTAATTTTCCAAACCTCCCTTGATTCAGGGCTGCTCCCATTAGATTGGATGATAATGAATTCAAAAAGGCAGGGTGACTGAAAGCGGAAACAACAGCTTGACATCTTGTCATAAGGAAATGTTAGAATTCACTATTAAAAATAAACAAGACACTTGAATAAGTTCAAGGTTATTACGGAGAGTCAACATGGTTTTATGAAAGGGAAATCATGTTTGACCAATCTATTGGTGCTGTTTGAGGAGGTAACACTAGCTGTGGATAAAGGGGAACTAGTAGATAGACTGTACTTAGATCCCCAGAAGGCATTTGATAAGATGCCCCATTAAAGGTTATTGCTAAAAATAAAAGTTCATGCTGGAGGGTGGCATGGATAGTAAATTATGTGGATAACAGGAGGTAGAAATTTGATGAAAATGGGTCTTTTTCAAGTTGGAAAGATGTAATGAGTGGTACACCATAGGGATTAATACTGGGCCCTTACCTTTTTACAAATTATATAATGACTTTGTTGAAGGGCCAGAGGATATAATTGCCAAATTTGCTGATAACACAAAGATAAATAGAAAACTAATTAGGCTGAAAAATGATTGGAGATATGCAGTGATGTAGAGTTGCAGTTAGAATCAGATCGGCCATGAGAGATAGCAGATCAGGCTCAAAGGGCCGAACAGCGTACTCTGTTTCTTGTTTGTGTGTAAGTTGTGAAAAGAGCACAAGGAAATTACAAAAGGATATAGATAGGTTAACTGATTGAGCAAGTTACTGGAAAATGATGTATAATTTAGGAAAATTGAAATTGTCTATTTTGGTAAGAAACATAAAAAGGCTATTAAAAAGTCTTAAAACTGAGGTGCAAAGAAATGTCTTCTCCCACAGGGTAGTAATTGTCTGGAATTCTCTATCCCTGAGATATATGGAGGCCTGAATAAATCATTGAAGGAGTAAGTAGGTCAATTTTTGAAATATTGAGGAGTTGAGAGCTATGAGGAGCTGGCATGAAAGAGGAGTTGAGCCCTAGGGCAGGTCAGCCATGATCTTATAGAATAGCTGGGTAGGCTTGAGGGCTGAATGGCCTTCTCCTGCTCTTATGTTCTTATGAAATGTTTGAGGGACTCAGCTTGTATCTGCTGGAGCTTCAAAGAGTAAGGGGGGTGAATGAAACATATGACATGCTGATTGGTCCTAACGGGTGTGGAAAGGATGTTTCCTCTCGTAGGACAATCTAGAACAAGGGATTACTGTTTAAAATTCAGCGGTTGCCCATTTATTACAGAGACAAGGTGAAATTTCTTCTCTCAAAGGGTCATAAGTCTTCGGAGCTCTGTTCCAGAAAGGTGGTGAGTCATTGAATAATTTTAAGGCAGAGATCGACAGACTCTTATTATGCAAGGGGTTGGGAAGTTAATAGTGGTAAGTGGGACTATGGATTTAAGATTACAATCTGGGCAACTATGATCTTACTGGATGATGGTGCCAGCCCATAGAGCTGAATGGCCTCCTCTAGCTCCTGATTCAGACATTCATATATATGTATTAATCTCTTTACTTCCCTCTCTGTCTTTAAGTTGATCTTTAAAACCTACTGCTTTGATTACATTTTTAGTCAGTTGACCTTAAATCTCCTTCTGTGACTCAGTGTCAAACTATGTGTGATATCACACCAGTTGAAGCTCATTGGGATCTTTTACTCTGTCAAGGGCACTCTGTAAATGCTAATGTAATGGAACATGAATATCCTACTGCTTGATAGGCCTCTAAGAACCAAGTACTAAGCACAGAAAGATCAGACAGTTCCCCAAAACTTCATACATTAGTAATCACTGGTAGGAGTAAACTGTACCTGGTCCTTCACTGGAGTAACATAACCTTTAGGACGCCAGTCAACAGCCAGAGGCAGTTCAACATTCTTGTTTGCTGTAAACACTTTGAATGTAAAGTTCCCAGATTCCTTTTTGCTGAATTTATTCAAATACTGTTTAAATTCCTCAGCAGTCTGCAAAATCAAGAAACCGGAGATTTATTTATCATGATGTTTAATGGGGTTCAATGCAATACACAGTAAATCTATGTGCGTTTCAATAAAGAAATAATACAGTGTGAGTTGGAGGAACACAGCAGGCCAGGCAGCATCTGAGGAGCAGGAAAGTTGACGTTTTGGGTTGGGACCTGAAGAAGGGTCCCGACCCGAAATGTCAACTT